TGCTCTTCATGCGATGCGAGGACCTTCTGTGCTGGCCATCGGACCGCATCATCAATGTAATGGTCCGCATCCCGAAAGCTGATGGGGGCACGCGCCTCATCGCACTGGTCTCGACCCTGGTCCGCGTCTGGGCCCGCGTACGCAGGCCCTTGGCCCGCGACTGGGTCAAGAAGCACCCTCACCCGTGCATCTACGGGATGAGGAAGGGCTTCTCCTCGGTCTACTCGGCCTACAGCCACAACGTTGATGCCGAGATTGCCCACCTCCTGGGGCTCTCCAGCGTCACCGTGATCCTGGACATGTTCAAGGCTTTTGACAGCGTGTTGCTGGCGCCTCTACTTCAGGAGGCGCGCCGCCTGCACTTCCCGCTCAGGCTGGTCTGGCAGCTGATTGGCTACTTCAGGCAGCCGCGCGTCATTCGGGACTACGGCAGCTGGAGCAGGCAGGTCGTCACCACCCAAAGCATACTGGCCGGTTGCACCCACAGTTCGGCGCTGCTCACGGTCCTGCTCTTCCGTGCCATCACGCGCCTCCAGCAGATCTCGGATGCCAGAGTCCCCCGTGGGCTCATGGATGACCTTACCTTGCAGTGGATTGGCGAGGCCATCGGCGCGGGCACCTTGGTTCTCCATCAGGCGGTGGTGCAGTTCGCGAAGGATGTCGAGCCCCTTGGCATGGAGATCAAACCTACCAAGTCGGGCTGGCTGGCCACCACGGCATCAGCCCAGCGCGCCTTTACGCCATTAGCGCGAAAGCTCAAGCTCTCGCAGCTCAGCAACGCCCGTAACCTCGGACACGACACTCACGGCCGACGAGTCATCCGCACGGTGGCCAAGCGTCGCCTCTTGGCGTTGGGTGCACGTGGCCATCGCATTCGCGCCGTGCATCGTGCAGCAGGGGCCCGCATCCAGACGCTTTGGAGGACTGGGCTGCTCCCAGCGGCGACCCACGGCGCAGCAGTTTCGGGCACCCCAGACGATCACTTGGGGCGGCTCCGCCACACGGCGGCCTTGAACTGCAGTGGCAAAGGTGGGGTTGGAGCTGACTCCATAACGCTCCATCTCGCCACGCAGCGCGACCAGTACTTTGACCCGATTTTCGACACGACGATCGCCCCTGTCTTCAAGTACTGTGCCTTCATCTGGGGCGCCAGGCTGCCCCTGGCGCAGTTGCAGCGCGCCTGGTGCGTCCTCGAGGCAACGTGGCTCCTGGAGCAGCCCACCTGGAAGGGCGTGCGGGGCCCCCTGGCGGCAGCGTGGATGAGCCTCCTCCGCATTGGGTGGACCATGCACTCGAGCCTCATCCTGGTCACCGACCAGGGCGCCATCATCTCCCTCTTGCGCACGGCGCCGAAGGACGTGCGCCACCTGCTGCGGGAAGGCATCCGCAGATGGCAGGGCAGGCAGATTCTCAGCCACCATGCCGATTTGGTGCCTGACCAGGCCGAGCTCTGGCATCGAGCCATGCGCCGGGTGCTGGCGCCGCCCAGGGCCGCGGTCAAAGGGGCGCGCGCGGGCAATCTGCGCAAGCTCTGGGCAGGGGCCTCCTGGGACATAGCCAAACGCCACCAGCATCATTACATGGCTTCTCCCATGTGCCCCCGTTGCCCACAGCAGATCTGCACTCGAGGCCATCAGTTCTACGAGCGCCAGCACACGCTGCAGCACCACAGCGATGACTCCATGGAGCCGCTTTCACAGGAGCTGGAGCGCGTCAGGGAGAGGCTTGCCAAGACGTGCCACCTCGGCTGCGCGGACGCCAGCTACGACTGGTTTGACTTGGTGGTCGGGCTGCCGCTGATGCCGCCCATGCCGCCCGCCCCAGTGGCCACTGCCGAGGTCCACTTCTGGGGCGACTGGGCCTCGACGACTCGCTGTAACCACACGGTCGCTTACACCGACGGTTCTGGCTACGACACGGAATGGCCGGAGCTCTGCCGTTGTGGCTGGGCGGTCGTGCAGATGGGCCCTGACAACAGGCCCGTCCGTGCCATTTACGGCGTGCTGGCGGGGCCGAGGCAAACTGTTGGCGGCGCAGAGAGAACAGCTATGCTGATGGCCCTCAGGCATCTCCCTTGGCTCTCCCACATCGTCTCTGACCTGGAGTCGCTGGTCAATGAGGGCAATGCGTGGGACGACAGCCTGGCCAGCTCGTCCAACCAGTACGCTGACATCTGGCGGGCGGCCTTCGCTGCAGCAGGGCCCTGTCCACAGGGCTTCTCATGGTGCCCTGGCCATCGCGATATCCAGCACTTCTTGGACGACAGGGTTGCCGCCGACTTCTACGGCAATGCGTGGGCCGATTTCTTTGCAAAGATCGGAGCTCGTGAACACGTACTTCCAAGAGCTGTGCATGATGCATTCGCGGCCAGGCTCTCGGATGCTCGCCTCGAGGGTAAATTGTTTGCCTGGCTCATGGCCAGGCTGGGTGAGCAGCAGGAGGAGCTCGACGCGCTGGTAAAGAAGACCAGGCGCCCCGCAGCGCCCGCGGCACCAGCACAGGTGGTGTCGGGGCGCCATCGCCTCCGCCCTGTCTTTGGGGGCTTCTGGCGCTGCGCCTTCTGTGCAACCACTGCTAGCACTGACGAGGCCAAGCAGCGTCTCGAGCGCGCGGTCTGCGCGCCCTCCCCGCTGCAGAAGCTTATGGCTGCTGCCTCTGCCGGCTCCTCCTCATCCTCCTCCCTCTCATCGGCTCGGGAAGAGGCCATCGCCATAGCCCTCGCTGCGGCCCATCGTTATTTGAATTCTTTTTCTGACGGGGCCACTGACGCTCGGGCGTCTAGTGATTTGGGGCTCGGGTCTGCACCGCCGCGGGAAAACCCTTCGGCTTCTACATCTGCTAGTAGCGCATCGTGTCCAGCGGCTCTGGTCTCTGGTAGGCCAGAGGCTCCAGAGGTAGGAAGGGCTGGTGTTTCAGGCGCTGGGGATTTTACCATTCTTCGGGCACACCATTTGGTCTCTGAAGGGCCCTTCGTGTTTTGTTTAAACTGCGGGGGCAATTCCTCAACCCGGCAATCCCCGACCCTGCTTGCTCATTGCAAAGGTAAGCGTGGAATTACTCAGGGAAGAATCACGGTCCTTAATAACCTTAAGGCCAAACGTCACCCGCGAACGGGAGTTCCCCTAAGCGGTGACACCCAACGCGGCTAAAAGGTTGCCGCGTTTTCCGTCTTTACTCGTGGCTCCCTCGTTTCTTCGGCGGAGTTCATTGGGCTTGCGTCTCCTCCTCCTCCTCCTCGCTCCTCTTTCTCCTCTTCCTCCTCCTCCTCCTCCTCCTCCTCCTCCTCCTCCTCCTCTCTCCTCAGTCCTCCTCCTCTCTCCTCCTCAGTCCTCAGTCCGTCCTCGTCGTCCTCCTCCTCCTCCTCTTCCTCCTCCTCCCGGGGCAGACGAAGACAGGGATAGCAAAAGGGGGTTCTCAAATCAGCTTACGCAGCTGGTTTTCCGGGTGCCTCCTGGCGCCGAAGGTACCAATGCATCGAGGAAAGCGACTGTCCGCAGGGCCGAATACAGCTACATGCTAAACATTTCGTGACCCCCCTTTTCCCAATCCCCCCTTTTGTCCGACCCGATTTGGAAACGGCTGGGGGGTCTGAACCGGTTGGGACACCAGAAATTCGGCTAGGGCAGATTGGCACGAATTGGAGGAGAGCGAAGCCTTTCGGAGATTCGGAGATCTGAACCTCCCAAACTTCTTCAGTCGACGTGTTCATGCAGGGCCGTTCGGAGGCCGTCCTTGGAGCAGGCAGCCAACATTTGCGTTCAGTACGTCATGTTGGTCGGAGGCTCACGCCCTTGCGTCGCCAGTGTTGCGACTGCTTGGCCGTTCAGGGGTCCGTGCATTCTGGGCCGCTCAGCGGCCATTTCCTGCGCAGGCAGCCAGCAGCCGCGTTCAGTGCGTCTTGCTGGTACGGGGACTCACGCCCCAGCGCTGCCAGTTTGCGACTGCTGGGCCATTCGGTGGGCTGGGCAATTTGGGCCGCGGCTCAGTGGCCTTTTCTGGCGCAGGCAGCCAGCGGCGTGTTCAGTGCGGTTTCGCTGGTCGGGTAGTCACGCCCCCGCGCTGCCAATGGGTCGACAGGATTTGTTTTGCCTGTCAGTGGCGCCCGAGCTTCAATTGCCCGTGGCGGCTTCGCTCTGCCGTCGCGCCGTCTGTCCGCTTGAAGGCGCGGCCGTCTCTACAGGGGGTGTACTGGGGAGCTATTTGCGCTTCCCACCCACCCACCCAAGATTGTCAGATCGACCTCTTGGGTGCGCTCTTGATCTCGGACCTGCAATCCCGAGGCGTTGCCAGCACGGAGCGAATTGGGGACGTAAAGAGGGGGTGTAATGACTATCGGCCCCGTCTCCCTTTGAGGTCTGAGATTTCAGGTTGCCCCCCTCGACGCTGGGGGATTATAGAGCATCAGACAATTGAGGGAAGGGCAGATGATGAAGTCAAATCCGCGCAAAAACGATCTCTGGACCTCTTCCGAATGTAGCTGTTCACTCCTAATCCGTTTTTGACGGTCCCAGGACCCAAAGACGTCCCCTGGAGGCAGACAAAGGCCAGAAACCGTCATTATGGAGCCCAGAATCTCGAGCCTGCCCGCCCTCCCTGCTGGCCGGAACCAGTGCTGGGCCACATCGGACCCCCAGACGGCTCCAAATCCCCTCCCTCCCCCCCTTCGATCCTCTTCCTCCCTCGATCCTCTTCCCTTCCGTTCCTCCCCGCCTTCGATCCTCCTTCCTTACACTCCTTCCCTAGAGGCCTCCCAGGTGGTGTCGGAGCAGATGGGGTCGGAGGATCGCGCCGCATCGCCGATGCATCGCCGATGCATCGGCGATGCACTAGCGACGTCGCCGATGCATCGGCGACGCCGGCGTGGAGTCCATCGGGCGATGCTGCGCGATCCTCCGACCCCATCCACTCGGACCCCATCTGGGAGGCCTAGATTCCCCCCCCCCCCCCCTTGATCCTCTTCCTCGCCCCCTCGGCCCTCACGCGGCGGCGCCGCGCCGCGCCTTCGGCGTGGGCCCTCCCGGCGTGGGCGAGGCGTGGGCGAACTGGCACGCGCGGGGCGCGCGCGCGCGCGTTCTGTGAGCATCGCTTCGCCGATCCCCGCCTTCTTCGACTAGCGAGGAGGGAAGAGGGAGGAGGGAGGAGGAAGGAGGAAGGAGGGAGGAGGGAGGAGGGAGGAGGAGGGAGGAGGAGGGAGGAAGGGAGGAGGAATGAGGGAGGAGGGAGGAGGGAGGAGGAGGCAGGAGGAGGGAGGAGGGAGGAGGGAGGAGGGAGGAGGGGGGATTCGGGCGCCCAGCGCCCATTCTTTCCCACGACGCGAGGGCGTCACGGTCGCTCGGACCTCAACCGGGATGAGCATTGTTTAACCGATTCCTGTTCCCACCGGCTTGGCCGGGGCCCCACTGGCTGGTTTACCCAAATCGGAATCCCAAATCGAATCGAATCGGAATCGGAAGCCATCGACGCCGAATCGAAGCCGAATCGAATCGAATCGGAGGAATCGAAACGAGTCCTGCCCCCCCCATCCTCAGCCGCGTGCCACCCACAGCAGCAGCAGGTATGAACCATGCAGATGTAGCGCGTGGCGCTGTTACTCTTAGGTCGGGCATGTCCTCCTACAGGGGGATTTTGGACGACAAATAATCAATAGTCAACAAATGTTCAACAATAACCAAAAATGATAGAGAAATCGTCCCCAGGCTATTTTGTTTACTAATTTTGAAGATTCCTCCTGTAGAGGGACAGGCCCGACTTAATGCTACTCTCATCCGTAAGTGTTCTCCTCCTTCACCAGGCGCGGAGCATCGGGTGGGGGGTGCAGTGGCCGAAACTATGCCCCGAACTCTGCCCGTGTGGCCGAAACTGGCGCCCGATTTGTCCGAGCGTCCCGGTGCAATCGAATTTCTGGGTTCGAAACCAAAGCGATTTTCAGTTTCGATTTCATTTTCGGTCACACCACGTTTTGGTTGTAATTTCGGTCACCTTTTCGGCTGATAGGCGCCAAGCGCCATGAGAAGCATGAACGACGACAACAAACGGGTCATACGCGCGATGGCACAGCGACCTTACGCGGTGGCTCACGCAGACCGCCAGCGTGGCACACCGCGTGGAAACGAGGGCGCCTGAGCTCGACCCTACGAGGGAAGCTTGCGCGTGAATTCCCGCGCAATCGACCTCATTGTTCTACGCCACTCGCATGGCCACGAGAATGTTAAGAAGGCACCGCCGGCCATACCTAGGACAGCTCAAACTACCCCCACCCTAAGCCAAAACTTCCACTCCCGACCCGGTGATCTAGGGGTCTGGCTGGTGCGAGGGTGGCCGTTTGGCCCAAGAGCCCCAGCAAGCCACCCCCACCCTCAGCCAGGACCTCCTGGATCACCATATCGGGAAAAGGGATCCTGGCTTGGAATGGTGCTGGGTTGTGCCGTCCTGCATTAGAGGCCTCCTAAAGGGGGTCGGAATTCGGCGATGCGATGCATCCGTGATGCATCGGCGATGCACCAGCGATGCACCAACGATGCATCGTCGACGTCGGCGGTGCATCGGCGACGTCGGCGTGAAGCAACTCGGGCTCCGCATCGAGCCGCATCGGCGATGCATCCGCGATGCGGCGCGATCCTCCGACCACGTCTGCTCCGGCCCCACCTGGGAGGTCTGGATGCATCTTGAGCAGGGACCGACCATCCCAGCAATTCTATAGTCCTAGCACGAAATGTTCTTAGAACCCAAAAATATTCTAAGAACGAAAACAGTGTTTTTAGAACACGAACCCGATGTGATAAAGCAAGACAGACTCCGGCAGACATGTTCTAAGAACATTTCGTGGGAACCACAAAAGGTTCTTACAACATTGTTTGGTAGGGCTATACGCGAGCCAGGACGCTTCGCCACTGCTTGAGCATCGGCCCTGGCCAGGCCTTTCCTGGGCCCAAGACGGGTGCAGACGCCCCCTGGCGTGGCCATCGGGGGCGGCCAAGAGGGGGGCGTCCAAGAGCGGGGGGCGCAAATCATGGCCGGCGGCATGTGCGCGGCCCAGGGGGGGGGGGGCCAGGAACGCAATGAAATGAGAAGAGGCGCCATGAAATCTGAGGAAATATCATCGCCCACGCCATGATGTCCACCCCCCCTTAGTCATCACCCCCCTCTTTGCCACCCCCTGGCGTGGCCAGGGGGGTGCCGGCACCGACCTCGGGCCCGGGGCCGGCCTGGCCACTCCCGGTGTCAGGTGCACAGTCGGCTCGGCGACTCCGCGGGGTGTGGTTTGCCGCATGCTGCTCTCATCGTACAGTCGGACTGAATTGGAGAGGACACGCGAGAAGACACAAGACCCTTCCGAGGGCCACGTTGCCACAGAAATGCAGGAGGCATGGGTCGCCAGACACAGGACACGAGGGTACCCTTGATCTGGCAGGGTCGACCTACTAATCCTGGCCGCATGTACTCAAGGACCAAGTCCCACACATCATTTCGAGCACCCTGACAAGTGTCGAAACAATGTCGAACGAGTATCGCCTCCCAGAGCCCGACACGTGAAAACACTCAAGTTTCGGCGCTTTCTTGGTGCTCGAAACTCTTTGTGGTGATTCAGGCTAAAGTCGGTTGGAACATCATATTAGCCAGCGTTGACTCTAAATAGATAGGACAGGAGGAGGACGAGAGGAGGATGGGAGGAGGACGAAAGGAGGACGGGAGGAGCAAGATCCAGCGAGCGATAACAAGCAAGCAAGAGCCAGCTATCAAGTGCAAGCAAGCAAGGCCAAGCAAGAGCAGGCAAGCGAGAGCAAGCACGCAAGAGCAAGCAAGCAAGTGCAAACATGAGTGTGCAAGAGCAAGCACGCAGGAGCAAGCAAGCAAGCAAGCACGCAAGCAAGCAAGCAAGAGCAAGCATAGGAATCCATGCGACTCATAGGAATCCATAGGACTCGCCATTGGAAATAGCTGGGGGTGCCATTGGAAATAAGGGGGGGGGCCATAGGAATTAGGGGGGGGCATAGGACATTTTTCGGGGGGGCAACGGACCAATTAGTAATGTTTGAGTTTGATCTCCTATAGGGCGAACCTATTCGGAGAATAAGGCTTGCCGAGGGTGCGGCGCCGACTGTAACCACACACCTTCCCGTCGGCGGCGAGGCCGAGGCCAGCGTGGGGCTCATCGGGGGCACCGGAGAAGGCAAATTGTCTACCGTGCAGGGGAACGAGAGAGGGAGAAGAGAAGGCGGCCGCGCGGGGGTAGGAGGGAGGCGCTCAGACGCAGGGCGCAGCCACACACACACTGCAGCCGCCGATCGGTGTCCTCCACAGCGTGGAGGCACCCCAAGGCTGAGAGCGCGCAGGGGGCGGAAAGCCGCCCCCCTCCAAGGCTGGGGCTGTTGGCCCTGGTGCCCGCTGTGTTCGGCCGTTCGGCGGCGAGCGAGGGGGGGAAGCGAGAGGGAGAAGGCCTTCTCAGAAGTCTCGGAAGTCCCCGGGCCGTCTGAGAAGTAGTTCTCAACGCCTTCACCAGAGACAGGAAAGACCTCTCAGAAGGCGCGAGGGCCTCTGAGAAGTCCCGCCGTCTTCTGAGAAGCCCTTCTCCTGCTCACTTCTCCTCCCCCCTCGCTCGACGCCGAGCTGTGGACCCCTTTCTTGGGGAAGTGAGGTACCGATGCCGCTACTCCCCGGCCAGACCTCTCTCGGGTGCGCTCTAACAAGAATCTCGAAGCGAACCCAGCGGTGGTGACGAGGGCCTCCCAGGAGGCCGAAAAAGGCGAAAACGGGCCAAGCGCAAAGATATGGGTACCTTGTCCTCCTCTGAGTGTTCGGCCGTGGACCCCTTTTTACCCATCGGCCCTGGGCGGTCTTCTGCGGTCTTCTGACGGTCTTGTGAACGTTTTCTGATTCGGCGTTTCGACATTGGGCGGAATGGGGCGAGTGGGGGGGGTCTGGCTCCGAACCCTTGCTGTAGTGCGACTGTTTGCAACAGTAGATCCTACGGAGGCTCCACTTGCTCGAAACAGGCGCCAAAAACTGCCACGATCTACTAGATGGGGGGGGGAGGGAGGGGTTCGAGGGCCCGCGCCGATCAGCAAAACAATGAGCAAGAAAACGTTCACCTTCGTCGCCAGGGCTGGATGCTTGCGCTTGACGAGGGGTCCGTGGCATGGCGGCCCCAGAAGGCAGGGCGGAAGAGACAGTCACCACCGACTCGCCAGATCTAACTAGATCGCACCGTGCATCGGATGGGGCTGCGTCGGCACGGTGTCGAAATCGATCCGCTTCGGCCGCGGGGGGATAACCGAGATGGGTATTTAGTTGTGGGACCCCCACAATGTTTCTCTCGGCGGGGAATAAAAATCGTCCGTTCTCTTCATCCTGCTCCTCCTCGTCCTCCTATTCCTCCTCCTCCCCCTTCTCCTCCTCATTATCCTTCTCCTCCCCGTCCTCCTCCTGATCCTCCTCGTCCTCCTCATGATCCTCCTCGTCCTTCTGCTCCTCCATATTAGACTGCTACTGCTGCTGCTGCTGCTGCTGCTGCTGCTGCTACTACTACTGCTGCTGCTGCTGCTGCTGCTGCTGCTGCTGCTACTGCTACTACTGCTACTACTGCTACTGCTGCTGCTGCTGCTGCTGCTACTACTACTACTACTACTACTACGACTACTACAACTACTACTACTACTACTACTACTACTACTACGACTGCTACTACGACTGCTACTACTACTACTACTACTACTACTCCTACTACTACTCCTACTACTACTACTACTACTACTACTACTACTACTACTACTTACTACTTACTACTCACTGCTTACTACTTACTACTCACTGCTTGCTACTTGCTGCTTACTACTACTACTACTACTACTACTACTACTACTACTACTACTACTACTACGACGACGACGACGACGACGACGACGACGACGACGACGGCTACTACGACTACGACTACTACTACTACTACTACTACTACTACTACTACTACTGCTACTACTATTGCTACTACTACTACTACAACTACTACTACTACTACTACTACTGCTACTATTACTGATACTAC